TCTTCGACTTTCTGCTTAAGTTCTGTTTTGCAAATTTCACAAAGACCCAAGGGACTCTCACGAGGAGCTAGAAATCCTTTGAGTAAAAAAGATGACCACATTTTCTAATTAGTGTCACTTTGCAGCCATCAGAGATGTCCATACATTTGGTTTTTCCCCAGCATATCACTGCTTCTCCACATGGAAATAGGAAAGAAAGGTCCTGGATCAGCAAGGGGAAAAATCTCTTCCATCTGACCATGGTTGGTGAGAGAACTGTCCCCCATCCAGGCCTCATGGTCATGACCTAAGGCTCCACACACGTACCAGCTTCAGGATTAGTTACAAATTCACTCTATCAAGGAACGAAACTAAAGCCTAAAAAACCCCCAAAACTTCCCACGGATTAGGTGAGCAACCTGAATAGCCTCACACCACAGCTCTGTCCTTCCCCAAAGCAAACAGAGGCTTTCTACTCTCAACTTGAAAGCCTGACATGGGTGTATAACAAGCTGACTCGCAACTCAGCTGAAGCAAGAAAACAATTGCTGTCTCAGAGAATGAGACTTCTCATTGCTGAAAATGTGGCAATGTTTGCTGGCCCCTGTGAGACTCACTCACAGACATGATGAAAACTAACACAAAACCCAGATTCCGTTGGACAAAATAATTCATATTTTTCAACCTATTGTGCTCAGACTCATCCCAGCAAAACCAAATAGTTTTAAAAGTCGCTAGAGACATCAAAAAGAGCACAGACAGACACACAGGACTTTGTTGTAGTTCTTCACAGATTAATGACGCATTCAAAGACTGAAATGATGGATATGCCACTTTTTTACCAAAATAGACACATTAGATAGCTATGCCAGGGTAAGCAACCACTTGCTTCCAAACAGGATCCAAGGTGTTCAATTCCCATAGGAACAAAAATGAGTCATTTTGGTGGTGGTACATCTAGTGCCAGAATGGGAGGTCTCACAGGCCAGCCTGCACCTCCCTCGAGATACACAGGTACATGACCAGAAATGAGTGATTTCTGGAGATGCTTAAGCAGCAAGGTGCCTTGGCTGACTGTTGTACGAGCACCTACCTACATCTCTATGTACCTGTCCACTTGAAAACGAATAGCAAATGTCTCCATAACGTGAAGAGAGCAGAAGGAAAATGGAATTAGAGAAGCAAAAAGGTTCATGCCTAACAACTAATCTCTAGCTTTTAGGCATCAGAGAGAACGGTATGAAGCAGCAAAAGAGAGTTAAAGAAAACTGAGACAAAGCATCAGGAGACCTAAAGGACTAATTTAATAGAAAAGAGTGAAATATTTATATTTTGGCTTAATAACGTGTAAGGAAGGCTCTGCAAGGCTACAAACAGTTGAAGAATTAATTCACTAATGATGAAAAAAATATTTAGTGTGATTTACTGCATTGCACTAAAGCTAGATATAAAGGAAAGGAAGAAAAGGACACGTGTCAGCTTTGTACACTTCTGGTATTCATTTGGATGACTCAGGGTGCATAATACACAGCAAATGTGAACTCTCCTTAAAAAATGAAAACAAAAACTTAAATGCTAGGAGCAGTTCTTACAGGTGCTATATGAAGCTCTACGTAATTCATAGCTGTATCACTCATGAGTCTTACACTCTGGAGAGTAAAAACTTTACAGCATCCCTGAAGTACCACTTCTGTCTCATTTAGGTTGATGTTCTTGTCTGCTGTTTTAGGGATGCAGAAGTCTTACATTTTACTGTTTCTTTTTCAATAAAAATACTGGAGTAAGATGCTCTCAGTTTTGCATTCTTTGGATTCTGGAGATGCTGAAATCATTGAGGTGAGAAACCATTTTTGTGTGAAGATCGTTTGCATTAACAGTCATATATATATGCTGAGCTGATACTACTCTACATAGACAGTTTTGAGGTGTGCTTTTTTGTTTTCACCAAGATTAACTGCTCTGCTAGACAAATGCAGGTTATCTGATTGTCACGAGGCAACAAAGGTCTTACAATTAAATAACTATGGGTTGGATCCTTTTCTCATTAGAAGTCAATCATAAAATATCCATTAACTTCAAAAGCAGCAGGAACAAGCCCTAATTTTCCATCTGTGCTGAGTACATTAAAATTATTTTAAGCCTTAGCTGCAATTTTGAATAATTGCAAGCAACCCTTATTTTTTATAATTTGCATCATGTAAAATAATAAAAATTGAATCCTGTCCATGGCTACTACTCAAATATATGTTATATCATTCTCTACACAATATGAAAAGCCTGATCTCTAACCCTCCCTATAGAATCTGGCTTTGGCAGAATTACCCTGTTCTGCATGGCACAGATGATAAAGATGCAACCCAGTAACATGTACATTTGAAGCTCATCGACATAACAAAAAAAAATAAATCTAAATACTAATTATCATTAACAGAGTTCCTACCAGACGTTAATAGGAAGATCGATTTGCATGAGCAGTGTGCTGTTTAAAAAACAGACCAGAACATGTGAATTATTGAATTATGCATATCACCTCTAAATCGCATAAAATTCAAATAAAACCACATAATTTTAAAAACTAGGAAAAATGTTTAAAGATATCCTAAGCAAATTCTCTTCTTATTTCCCAGACTAAACCCAGAAAGCAGCATTATGTTCTGTAGTTTGCAAGTTTCAATCCAGTCCAACCCTGGAGTACACTAACCCCATCCTCAGGAGACTTACATGTTTATGTGCCACAATGGCTCAGTGTCTTGGGCCAATTAATGCACTAGTGATGCCAGGATGAATCCTGGCAGCAAACCACACACTGTGCTGTGGGATGAAAACCCTTTTCCAGATTCACTTTCAGTCTATCCTGGCCCAATATTCCTTCCCTGTCTCCAGTCTAGCAATCAGTTGTACCCTTCCCACCGTGAGGGTGGCCTACCAGGTTAACAGCTCAGAAAGGGCAGTCTCAGTACTGCATCAGAGGACTGATTCAGCCTACCCAGAGGTTACATCACACAAGTTCAGGGACAGGCAGACCCCACAACCAACACACCTCAGTGCCAGGAAAACAAAAAGGTCCTTTCTGAGACCTCCACGAATGGCAAAAAGCATTATGAAATTCAAACATAGTCGCCACCTTGATACAGGGCTGCCAGGGAATGCTTCAAAAGCATGCTGATGACTCCTTACAAAGCCATGCAGAACTGCCACAGACTTTTTGATGAACATGAAGTGCACACTTGTAATCAAAGGAACATCACCATTAAGGGCCCAAGGGTGTTCGGATACATCCTAGGCTACTCCTTGGGTAGTCCCTGAATGCTGGAGTAAGCAGACAGACAGAGAGCCAGTGTAGCAGTGCCTGTCACATCAATCACAGCAGTTATGTAAAGGTTGGCTGTGGACGGCCACGCTTGTTCTTATTACGAGTGCCTCTCATACTCACCAGACACACTCCTTACTTGGGCTACAGTAAGATGGTATTTTTTGCCCCTCTGTCCTCTCCCCATCCCAACACCAGTATTTTAATATCAAGATTCCTGAAGAAATTGTTCTTAGGAACTGGTCAGTCATTTCCCAGCAAAGCAATGTTTCATCAGCAAATCCTGATTTGCTGACAGGGAGCTATTCTCAGACACATACTGGTTGTGATGAATTTTTGCCAGGTCTGAGGCAGGACTCGGAGGGAATCTTGCCAAGTTTTGTCCCTACTCACCTGTCCGCCTGTGCAGGAAGCCAGTCGCGCATCACGCGGGAAGCCAGTCTCCCTCACCTACGCGGGTCCGCCATATAGCATGGGAACATCAGCACTTCTGCAGCTTCCCTGCTCCCTCCCACACATCCCTGAGTTGTAGCTGTTCAGCAGAAAGCATGGAAACCATGAGAGTCCCCACCTGAACTGCATTCTCAAAAGCTACTTGCCTTGAAATCTTAAACACTGAAAGCCTCACTAGAGCTTAGTATCCCTCGGGGAGCATAGAAATCCTGTGAGACTTTGACTGAGCCCAAGATCCAGAGCAGCCAGGGCTCCAGGCATTTCCAGTTTTCCTGGAAAACAGTAATAGGTCTGACAGCAACTGCCAACCTACAGCCTCTGCGGAAACTAGGGACCAACCCATGGACCACCTGAGTCCTATTAAATGAAACCTCTCCACTCCCATTTTATATGGGGAATGGGGAAGAGGGGGAAGTTTCAGGAATTTTTCTTTAGCAGAAAACTTAACCCCAAAGTGTAGTTCCCACACTGACTTGGAATGCAACCTTCTCTGAAACACTGACGTTCCCCCTGTCCAGGAGTTCCACATTTCAAACCCCTCTCTGTGTAACAGGCATCTGAAGAAAACAGCATCTTCTATTCAGGTAACAGCATACACAGCTCTGCAGTCCACATCAGTTTTGCTGATTGCCTTTGCGAAGGCAACTGGTAAAAGCAGCTTTTTGTAATGATATGTATTGTTCCATACTGGCTTTTCTATTCTCTGTTAAAAAAAAAAGGCAATTCTCTTTAATATAACACTTGTTCCTAAGGTCTGTATATAACTTTAATCACACAAAGGTGCAGGTTATATCACACTCAGGTAACAGTGTGACATTTGGATTATCCAAATCCAACTACACACGACTAGAGCAGTATTCAATGGAATCACTAGCAATAGTATTAGAAATTCATGTTCTTGTAATAAAATGTGAAGTTTTCCTTCCATGCAGATGGCATTTCATATTCTAAATTGACGCTGATGTTTATAAATCATGCATGGTAAACACCTGTTGAAATTAAAATCCTTGATTCATAGGTCAGGTATAGCTTAGCCAAGGACAAGACAGTATTCCCTCATTCTGCTGACTGTAAACTTCTTCACCAAGTCTATTCTTCCCTATCCCTCAAATCCCACTAACACTTTTCCTTCACTGTTTCAGTGGTTATCATAAAATGACAGTACACCCCCCCTCCCCAAAAAACAATCCACACATATACTTATTCGTCATATTTCTGTAGATGATTTCTCTTATATTGCCTGTTCTGTTCTCTGTCATATACCTGTTTATGAACACCCCTTGTTAAGTTACCCTGAATTTAGTTAGCTCTGCTTAACAGGGACTGTACTGAATACTTTTTCATATCTCAGTATTTTTTAATCCATATTTACACAAATTAAAACTATCCTGTTTTTAGCTGCCCCATAATCGCTACAACTGATTTTTAAAAAAACTCTGTACAGTTCAGAGGCATTTAGACCTTTAAGCTCCAACGAGACTAATGGCAGAGCTATAGCATTATGCAGAAACTAAATTAAAGCAGAAGTAACAACAAGTCACATCAGAAATAATCAACTCTGTTTCTTAGTATGAGACAGAAATAAATCCTTCTCCTGTCCTCCCCACACACATCTGGTAGACAGAGGAGCCTGCCCAGTGGCTACCCTGCAGCACTGTGGCCATCTCCTCTTCTCCAAAAGACCACAAAGCTTTTGGTCTGTAAGGTAGGGATCCTAGGCAAATGTAGTGTTCCAAAGCATTGCTAATTTTACCAGTAACCTAGCAAAAACAGGGTGGAAGACAGTGAAACTCAAGTTTTGGGGGACTAACAGATGCATTCTGTCAAAAACTAGCTATGATTGTCGCCTGTTGCCAAGATTGAGTCGTTAACCTTTGCCATGTCCCAGAGCAGAGAAGGCAGAAAGCAAGGCACTATGTCATACCCTGGCAGCTGTTTCACAGGCTGGTGCACCAGCCAGTTCTGTGGTCCTGGTGCAGCAGCCAGTGATGTGCATGAGCTGAGACATGGGCATGCAATTGCTCTGGCCCTGTAAAGCTGACTGAGAGCAGAGGGATGGGGCAAGCTCCTGGTGACCCTTAAGAGGAGTGACCAACTACAGTGACCCTCAAACTGATAGTGCTGTCTTCAGCATATGTAACTCAAAGTCCCCTGCCCCAGCTTGGTGGTGGGAATGTTTTTCTCCAAGGAGAGTTAAGATAGTTAAAGTAAATAAAGTGTGTGTGTGAGGCCATGCAGGGACCATGGATTAACACATGTTTACTCCATGTTTAAAGTTCCTCATTTGAGAGTAAAGTCGCCTCCATTTTGTTGTAATATAATCAAATTAAGACATGGCCAGGGCTGAGATTTGATCACTATGCTTTCACAGCTCTTAGCATGGTAAATGCAGGTACTATTATTTAACAGATTTAGTACTTGTAGACAGCAGGCTTCCTAAGGAGCTACCCTGGTGTTAAACAGGAATAAATAGCATAGTGAATGATGGTTTAATACCAGACAAACTAAAAAGGCCAAACTGTTGAAGTGGACAAGGAGACTTTGCTGTGGTTGCTGTTTTACTCATGCACACTCTGCTCTGGTTCTTATGTTTAAAGTCCCCATTTCTTTCATCATGTTCCTTTCATCAATCAAAATTAACCAATACACAGACCCATATACATTATTACCCATACACAGACCTCCTACCAGCAGCGCCACTAGGTAGGTCTAACTCTCTGATACCAGACACACTACGCTTCTCCTCACAAGAAATCCATCTGATTTTTTCCTAGCATAAAGAATGCCAGAAAAAGAGAAGGCAGGCTTCCTAGGGCTAATTAGAAACACTTTCCGGGATGTAGTGTCTCGATTGCATATATAAGCATTAGAAGGTGAAAGCAGTTCTTTGTGAAAGCTGATTAAATGTTTGGTCATTCTGCTAAAGCTTCCTGTGAGAGCCCAAATTAATATAATTTACAATGCTGCCAACTAAAAGCTGTGCTGAAGGCAACCTGTTCATTTCACGTAAAGCACCAAACTGCCATTGGATGGCAAGTGTCACTACTAACCTAGTGCTGACTTGAAACAGACCTTGGAGACAATAAGCTCTGTATGGCAACCAGCCATGTCCTGACCCACTGAGCATCCCTGGAATGTACAGCTGCTGCTCCTGTCCCTCCAAAGACAGCCAGAGCCTCTGCCACATAGCACCAAGGCTGTCATGCACCTCGAGACAAGAGAGCAAAGAGCAGAGACCTGGCTCACCTGCCTGAAATTCTATGTGCAGAGCAAAGCAGGGCCAAATCAGCACCTGAGCATGGGAAATTTGTAAAGTAGTGCCCCAATAACTGATGGCTGTGAAGGGCGTGATCTTATTTCCACAATTCAAGCCTGCCAGTGAGAGCTAAATCTTATCCTTAGGACACACCTTCACTGGTAGATCGGGACAGTTGAGCGAGTTGAAATCCCATTTTTAGCCTTTTGCACAGCCATGAAGGACCGAAGGAGGAACTGTGACTTCCAATAGTTACCAGGGCTGAGTTACTCCAACACCAGCTGAGTTACCTGCCATCAGGACTCAGCTAATACCTGACCTGAACACCCTGTACCCTTCACAGCATTGGAACAAGCACAGTTGCCACAACACACAGGGTCTAAACAATACATAAATGCATACCCATGCTAAAGTCAGGTGTGTGGGTTCCCATTCCCATTTCTCAGGAAGAACAGAGCTCTGAAAAAGACTGAGGCAAGTCAGCACTGAGGGAGAAAGAAAAGAAGTGCCAAGATAGTTTTGAAACTTGGCACAGAGGAATTGAAGTTTCCAAACTGACAATGTTCTTCCTGCTTCAAATGTAAGGGATTTAAAGAATGACAAAATTTACATTCTTATCTTCATCCCTTTCACTTTCTCCAAACAGCTCTAGCCATGTAAATACAGAACACAACTGCCAATGAGAGTCAGGAGTCTGAATATTTTACACAAAAGGCAGCAAATTAATTAGTCTTTCATACAGCTAACCAGAAGTGAAATGCATTGTCTTATCCCAAGGCTTACCTTGATTGAAACCTCACAACTGCTTCCTGGCATCTTAAAGCCACAGTCTGTGCATAGTCATTAGCTGAGGATACAGCCTTCCCCTGACACTCTGAGAGGCCTGGCAATGCACTTTCCAGCTCCTGCACCAAAAAAAAAAAAAAAAAAAAAAAAAAAAGTTGAATTCCCTTCCAGCACCAAGCAGGCTTAGCTGAATATTTTGCTTTAAGAAAAAAAGAGGTCCATGAGACTGGGTGCTGATTGTGGTTCTTTGTTATTTTTTTATAATAATTTGGAAACAACAGGAAAACACAGACAAGAAAAGGTGTATCTTCTTTCACTATAATACATTTTTTTAAACCAAAGCAGACTATAACCCATTTTCCTTTTATTAGTTACATAACAGATGTCAGCTTCTGAGCTAAGAGGTGCTATACACAGAGATCAACATTTTTTTTTGCTTATGTATACATTCACATTTAATTTTAAATTATTTACTCACATGTTAGTAATATTTTATTACTTGGGCATCATCAGAAAGATTTTGGCTGACAAAAGCAAATGCCGTTCACTTAAATAAGATTTGTAAGGTTTAACCAGTTTCCTTTTTCCTGTTGAACTTTCTCTTCCCTAGCATATGCATAGCTTTATGAAGAGACTATTACTGCAGGAGTGAAAGGCAGTGAGGAAAAAAAGTCACATCATCCAACCTGCCACCCAGAAAATAAAAAAGCCAATTTAGTCCAACAAATTGAGGAAGGAAGTAGGAATTAGAAAGGCATGCATTTTACTCCAAGCTTTTGAAAATGAGGCATAGGGCTGTGACAAGATGTGTTCAGCACATCTCAGTTTCCTTACCTATAAAATCGGTTATAACATTTCCCTCGCGTTGCAAGGGGTAAGTTAATGAACTTGTTTGAAAATGCAATAATCAAAGTGGGAATTTTCCTACTTTTTTATTTGCTTTTATCATTCAATATTTTATTCTAATAGTTTACACAATTAAAATATACAATGTGCTTTGAAAAACAATAGTGTTCTCTTTCTGTGGTAAAGCAACATCTCTGGTTTTGCTCCAGTTTCAAAGCTTAGTTGGAAGTCAGAAGTTTGGATAGGCCTGTTTGGGTGGAAACTTGAAAGGCTGAGGTCATTCTACATTTACAAAAACTGTGGCTGCTTTTACTTCCTTCTTAATCTGTTCTATCTTTACAGTTTATGAATGAAGCTAGTTTTTAGACGTACACAGTCTAAATACATCGTATTTAAACAAAACTACATTACACTTTTATAAAATTGTTAACTTTATAGAAACTTAAATATAAGAAAGTTGCTCAAGCGGTCTCTTCTCAGGAGAAATATTCAGTGCCCACCTCTCAAAACTAATGATGAAGGACTAAGGGATCTTGTAAAAATAAAAAACAAAACCAACTGGTGAAATAAATAAGCACTGACATTTTACTTCCTCTCCATGACGACGTTTTAACTATAGGATATTTGTGGCATAAGTGAACATTATTTCCTCCTACTTAGTCTATGAGATGAGTATAAAAAGTATTGAAATCTATCTCTAGGAAGAGGTAGCTGTCACAATCATGATGGAAGCTACTTAGGAGGAATCAGCCACGTGCTACCTCTAACACACATGTCCATCTGTGGGCTATGTCCACACAGCATTTATGCAGCGTAGACCTACCCTGGGCTGAAAGTACCTCCCCTGCCAGTTGAAGAGCCTGTGCTAACATTAAAGTAGTTTGTTTTGGTATCAATCACCGCAGTAGAACTGACCCAGCAGAGGTTAATCAAGCTTTCCAACCATACTGGCTACCCACAAGGGGGAAATTTCCAAAAGAGACCTCCAAACCAGAGGCTGTCTTTTTTTCAGATGAGATGTTATGAAGCTCTGGTGATGCTCTGGCAAAAGGAGTGAAAGCTTCACTCGAGTGACTAGCATTACTTTTGCTTTTGTCACCCTCTGTCTCCTTCAGAGCCTTCTAGGACTGATGTCTGCCCCTCTCCCTGTGTCTATTCAATATGGTTTAGCATTGAATGAATGACATTTTATCAAAAAATGCTAACACTTTGGGTTACAAATGGACAGCAGTTTTTTGCAGCTGTTCTAGTTTTTCCATTACTATCTTAATATTATTTTCCCTTACTTATATAAAAATGATGGTACGCTCTGGGGGACAAAACAGGTCAACACAAAGTTCAAAGCAGAGACGGATTGAACCAGTTCAGGTTATTTTATCTGCCCAAAAGTATTCAGTGACTTGATGGTCTCCAGGTAGAACAGGCATTTTCATCATTCATGCTTAGAATCTCTCATAAGGACTTGTAAGGGTCACATTTTACTAGGTATTGGATGTGACCAAAAATAGAAAGAAAGCACTATATTGTCTAAAAAGTGTAACTTCTACATTGGCAATGGCAAAGCTGGAAGAAAGAATTCTGCATCACCACTGTGATGCATACTGAAAATATTCTTTTTCAAAGAGATTTAATAACAGAGACACATAGGAAGACTACACATCAGATCTCAGAAAAACCTCTGGAACCAAAGCTGGGAATTTGTATTATTTGTACATTTGAAGAATGTAGGCTGGGGTGATAAAGAGGTTAGGACACTGAAGTTCAGCAGATGACTTTCTTATGACCATAGTGGCATCATTAGGGGAGATTTCTAGCCAGGACTCAAATTCTAGTTTTTTATGCTATCATATGATCATATGGAGTTTCAGGATTATAATGGGTCTGCCCGAGATGCAGCCTTCACCGTGCTGTGCAGTGGTAGCTAGATAACACACCAGTGTTTTGACTACTGCTGAGCAGGGCTCACACAGCACCAAGGCTATTTCCCCAACATTTCCCCAGTAGGCTGTGGGTGGGTAAAAATTTGGGAGGGGATATAGCCAGGACAGCTGACCCAGACTGACCAAAGGGATATTCCATACCACATGACGTCTGCTCAGCAATATAAGCTGGGGAAAACAGGAAGAAGAGGGCACATTCATTTCACATTTCTCATCCGGAGCAACCGCTGTGCGTACCGGAGCCCTACTTCCCAGAAAGTGGCTGGACATCGCCTGCTGATGGGAAGTAGAGAATAAGATCTTTTCTTTTGCTTTTGCTTCCACACATGGCTTTTGCTTCATTAAACTGTCTTTATCTGACCCACGTGCCTGTTATATTTTCTCTCCTCTGTGCAGCTGAGGGGGTGGGGGTGATAGAGTGGCTTTGGTGGGCACCTGGCATCTGGCCAGGGCCAAACCACAACAAGGATACAAGAAAATATTGAAAGAAGCAACAGCCATTGACTCATACCAGTAGAGGACCTAAAGTTCTTGCAACAGCCTCAACATTTATGCTTAGACATATTTAGCTTCAGAAGATGACTGCAAAAACTCAATACAGGTAAAAAGAAAACTTTGGGTGCTATGTAATGAGTGAAACAAGTGCATTTCAAGTTAAGCAAGCATATCCTATGGCTGAAGCCTTCTTGGTGTTGTACTATTCAAGTTAATCAGTCAAAGAAAGTCCGGTTAAGATGCAAAACCAAACCTGCGTTAAAGTGGTAAACTTGCTTCAGCAGAAGCCTCTTCCACAACAAATACCCCTCCCCAATGTCGGCAGAGAGAACACAGCAATTCAAGATGGTTTCTGCTAGATGAAAGCAAAAGCTGCAGACAAGAAGATATGTAGTAATAAGCACACATTTGCAGGCTTGATGTTTGAGGACTTGCAGGGAGGGTTGGTTGGTTTTTCTTTTTCTTTTTTTCTTTGATGTTGTTTGTAAGTTATGTCATTAGGGTGTTCCATCCTTGATGGAATCTCTATTTAAGAGCAATGAAATCCATTCCTGATGTATCAAAGGCATCCAACAGTATAGTGCTGTCTTCTATTGTGCTTTTGTTTCTTCTTCACTACAGAGTGAAGCTTCTACAATGAGGCTACATCTGGTAAGCAGTCTGTGAAGAAGGAAATCTCTAGGCACTGCTGAGAAGTCTCAACACTGCATAATTACTGCCGTGACATTTGCTTTGTACACAAAATAATACATGGATTTGGAAGCAGCCAAAAATTACCATCACAGATACACATGTTGAGATAAATAAGCTTCTGTTTCACAAGCTAAAATTTTTTAAAAATCGGTTTCCCTCAAAAAAATCACAGCACGTCATAACCCATCTCTGTCAGAGCATCTGAATTACAGTGCAGGCATACAAACCTTTGCTGTGTTTATGCAGCAGCTTAATCTGCTCTTGGACTGCAGAAAGTGCCTTGTATCCTTCATATGCTTTACCCAAGACACAAACACTTCTGTTTCTCTTTGAATGCAAGCACCACGCAAATATTGTACCAGCATTTGGGACCACAGCCCTGGCATACCTCATGGTGCTGTGCCAATACAGAAAATAACCAGGACTGAAGTCCTGAGCAGAAGTGCCTCCTACCCCTTCTGAAAATGCCAGTCTGTACAAGAAAATAGGCAGGTACATTTAATGGACAGCTAATTGAACAGATTTTATCCACAATGGGAGGTATGGTTTAAACATGAACAGAGTATAGCTAAAAACTGCAGTGGAACTTGCAGACTGCCTGACACATTCCTGTGTTTGTGTAGCTAATGTGTTAACTTCAGCTCTGTTTTTGTTATTCCTGTGCATTTAAAACCACAATTTTAATGTCAAATTACTGGAAGTTCTTTGCAATCCATGCAATTTGCCCATTTAATTTATATTCAAAATACAAAATTTCACACAGCAGTTTTCAGCATTCCCATCTCTAGGCATTGATTGTCAAGCCAGCATTTCATTTTTGTAGTAATCTACCTTGATAACATGACTTTAAAACTGAACTTTTACTGTCTCTACCTATTAGTTAGCATGCTTAGTGTTGTTTTATAAGCATGTCTCACTATCAGTAAGAAATTTGAGCGTGATTCATTTAATAATCTATATTCATGACTGTGCATCAAAGGTGAGTGACAGGAGAAAGGATTAGGCAAGGAAAGCAGACTTTCCCTTCCTCACCATCTGTTCTCACACTGACTCCCCAGAGTATGTTCTGATGATATGCTTCCTCACCTCTTGAAGTCAAATAAATCATAATTAATCTGATTTTCTATAGGGTAACATTGCAGAAT